CTAGACCGCAGTGAGGGCAGCAAAGCCTCAGGACGCTCATGGAATTGGTGTCAGGCTTTGCTGAGGACGCATTATCCAGAGGAGTAACCGGGATCTTGCCTGCCGCGACTGTTAGGACTCAAGAGAAGCAGCAATAAATTGTATTCATGCGTGGGAAAATTTTGTCAGAAGACTGGTGAGCCTGTGGAATAAACTGCAAGGGTGTGCCTGGCGGCTGCCCGGCAGAGGACGCTTGCCTACGCTTGAACTGGAAGCTGGGGGTACAATTTTAGAGAGGGGCTCGCCTCTGGGGGGCAGCGAGGGAACTCAACCCAGGACCCCAACTCCTGCTCTCCCCCGGCTGGAGGAGGGTACGTGACCACCCTGCTCACAGCGCCGTCGGCCCCGCGCCCAGCAGGAAAAGCCTGGAGGGAGCACCAGAAATTCTTCATCCAAACCACTTGGAGTTTTTATCTGCTCTCAGGTCACCCCTCCCCGGCTCCAAGAGTCCCGCTCGCTCGCTCTGCAGCGCAGGGCTTCTCTGACTGCACGCCCTGGAACTGTGCCCCCACCCCCCCCTCCCCCCGCTGCGACACCCAGGTACCGCACACGGGCGTTCGGACGCCCGAAGTCACCCACTGTGACGATGGCAGGGCTCCCCCCCCGCCGCGCCACCCAAAGCAGGGTATTTTTCCTACAATCCCATCAGCCAGAGACAAATGTGCTTACGATTCAAGACTTACTTAGGGTGGGCTGAGCTGATCGCTTTTCAAGTGCTAGTTGTGCAGAAAGGGCCCCCCGCTCTCCCCGGGTGAGAGCAGGCGGGCACGGCTCCGCGGCAGCAGGGACGCCGGGAACGCCGGCGGGAGCACGGGACAAGCCGCTGCGCTCCTGTAATCCAGTAATCCAGCTGGGTAAAACGTTTGGACCAGAATGTTCTCGCAGAACCATTCCCCCCAGTAAGATAAGCCTTGCTGGCTTGGGTCTTGCACAACGAGTGCCTGTCGATGACTCGCTACGGATCACGGAGCTGTACAGAGAGAGAAACATCAGGCTCATCGTGCTCTGGGTCTCTGCTTCAGCAGGTTTCTCACAATACCCAACTGTGTGTGTATAAATATACATGGAATAATACATATTGCAAATATATATCTATAGACACACTCATCAGTATACATATTCAAACCTAAAATGATATATACCGTATCGCTATGGACAGATTCAAAATACTGCACATCAAGGAGGAAGGACAGCGCCGAGCGTCATTTGTTTGGTCCTCGTCGCTCCCTGACCAAGCAGCGAAGCAGCCGAGGGCTCCTGAAAGGCTGCGGCTGGGGTGATAAATCCATTTTCAGCAGGCAACAGATCCTGCTCCAGCCCCGGGTAAGAGCCCTTCCCCAGGGCACGGGGCTCTCTTGGTGAGAAGGCAACGCAGCTCTCCTGCCGTCGGCGTGCCCCGAGATGCCACCGTGGACAACCGTCACCGAGAGGCAGAGCTGGCACGGCGGGTGGCACGGCCGGACCCGGGGCGAGGGCTGAGCCAGGGGACCGCACGCTGGGCCTTACGGTCACCTGAAAGCAGAGCGGCCGGGGCAGCCGTCAGGGACGGCGAGGAAGGACGCTGGGACAGCAACGGGGACCCAGGCTACAGGCAGTGGGACCCTCCGGGCTCCGCACAGCCGCTGCGACTCCAGAGAGACAGAAAGCTCAAACTTGGGACGAGCAAGAGATTTACGCATGGTTTGCCTGTAACATTATTTGAGCCAGGCAAGGGACCCATCACCCGGCCCGGGATCCGTTCTGAACCGCACGCTCCGGCACACCAAGGATGAGGAGGTTTTTCGAGATCAGCGTGCTGGCTGGTGTGGGAGCAACGAGGTATAAATCAGAGCTAAACCCCAGATGGGGAAGAATCATTCACTGCCACAAAAGCAAGAGCGCTTGTGCATTTCTACAAATCTCTGTAACCATCAGCAAAACGTCGGATCACAGAAGTGACCGGACCCAAGTAACTGAGTGCATAAAATTAGGTAACGAGCCCCTCAGGAGCTAAACGGCGGGTTTAGATCTGCTTGCTGGATATGTTTAAATGTATTATTAAAGCTTTTGTTTTGACTGTATGGGCTCGAAGCCAAAAGCTAACAAATGACGAGTTCCGAATCTGCAGCGAAAGGCACAGCCAGGCACCAACCCCCGCAGCGCCGCAGGATG